TGCAATAATTGAAATGAAGAAAATATAGGTACATAACTTAACTATTCTTGTTTATTTGGAGAACTTTTCACCTAGTTGAAACCTGAATCATTAACTTGGATCAAGGATGATGTTGATTTAGAATAAAAATGGAAGTATCCTTATCTCTTACAGATGGTTGTATGTGCATTTTTTGGCGATTTTGCGAGATGTACCGGGTGTTTCATAAAAGACACAGGTGCGGGCGGGTTCGCGTCCCCGCTCTGCCAGTAAGGCGCCATAGCCCCTTGGGTAGGCAAACCCGCCCGCACCTGTGTCTTTTATGAAACACCCGGTATATATTTTGAATCATGAGAAAATTCCAGTTACTATGGTATATATCTCACAAAATCACCCAAAACATCACATACGTCGCTTTGTCCCGACCCGAGACCCGCAATTTTCTATTTCCAAGGGTGGACGCGTCGTCGCGGTGGTGTCACCAAATTGCACGCAAACTAATCGCGCTGGCTTAGTGCCGCAAGCAAACACTAATACAGCATACGAAATTCGCATTAATAACTGGCATTATTGAACAAGTAACTCAAAAATCGACAAAATCCAAACCATTCAATCATTTTTTTCGAATTTTCAAGAGGGCTGAATCGACTCAGTGAAAAAATCGATTTACGGAACTTTGAATCGATTTTTGATTTAAATCGAAATCTATTCGACCAACCCTAATCGAAAACTCATGAAAACAATCATACACATACTGGAACAATCCCAAACAATCGACACATCACGCGCAATCGGAAACAATTGCAGGGTTTATATTGGCGACGATTGTCATTTGTTGGATACGTTCTAGTGGGTTTTCGAGGCCTCTCATTGGCTGCTTTCTAACTAGAACGTATCCAATAAATCACAATCGGGGCCATGCTAAACCCTGCAAATCACACGAAGTCGGACAAAATCATGACACAATTTTTCAAAGTATGTCCCAATTTTCACCCAACAATCTGAAACAATTAGTGACAATAATCAAGACAATCATACACAATCACAGACAATCTGCAACAATGATTGTCTATGGACGCAATCATCTGTTCACTTTTTCGGCTAGTTCCTCACCCTTCGAATAATTCTTACGTCTGAGTGTAGGAGAGGGCCGCCGGTGGTGTGTGGGGA